TAATCTTGTAGAGATGGCTTTGTCACTTGAAGACATATTAAACATCACTGTATTAATCACTGAAATTGCATGCAACTCGAAAAAGCCCACTTTGTCCCAATTCTTTCTGCCATCAGGTGGCAGCATTATGCTACGGAAAACACAAATGCCCACTAAAAGCCTTGGACCTTTACACACACAAATGATGTATTAGCATCTCACAAAGATGTAGTAACTTTAAAATGGCATTTGCAGATTTGACAGTTCAGGTAGCAAAAAAAGAAGTGAATTTTGAATATATGTATTATTGTGATTATTCGATGTAGAAAACAATTAACAATTTTCAGCTCCCTCATCCTGTGAATTAGATACGATTTTCTGTACATCGTAGCATTATTTTATGATGTTTTATGAAGGTGTATTTATGCATAGTATGGCTCTTGTATGGCTTCACTAAATATTCTGAATCAAAACAAAATCACTTAGCAATGGCAAGTTGTACACTGCAATATTGATAAGTTAAAAACACTAGCAGTTTTTAAACATCTGCAGTAGCATACATGTTATTGTAATGCAAAAAAAAAATGTTTTCAGCAGTGAAAAAATGCAGAACAAGAGAAGACTGGAACACTTTCTTTAGTGATGTGCATTCACAAAAGCTTAAAAATTATGTAACTTAAGCAACTTTTATTGGTTACTGTCTTTGACATTCCTACTGGAATCCCTTTCACAGAGTGAGTCACTATCTCCAGCACATCTAGATCTCAATCTAGAGTATTCTTTATCACCATTAGTGGTGGCTGAACTTGGAGCATTTGTAATGGTTGTGATGTACAGGAATCACCGTTTCTTTATTTTTTTTTTTTTTCAATGCATGTCTGTATGTGTAAACTGCAAGGTTCCCACTGCAGCTGCATAAAGGTAAACATGGAAAGAGATTCAGTCAGATCAAGGCAGGCCCAGGACAGTCACACTGATCAGGACAAGGCTAAGCAGAGTCACAGTCCTGTATGCATCACAGCAAGGAAAGATTTTAAGATTTAACACAGGGTGGTGAATTTAGGATATTGAATATTTTAATATATTTATATTATGTACAAAGTCCTTGTATGATAGGAACAAAACCTGAGCTGAGTTATGGTAAAGTGGGAAAAAGGACCATTCTAAGAAAAAGACTCAGACGGTAAGAGAAGCATTTTCTTCCAGTTTGATAGTACCCTTCTTCATTTGTTTCTTTTCTTAGCTGGTAAAAAGCCTACCCAACGTCTGCAATTTGAGTAACTGATGGTTTGGGATGGGAGAAAGTCACAGTTGACTTCAATTACAAAACAGTGCATGCATGTATGGTAGGAAACAGTTTGTCAAACACTCAAGGTAACAAAGGATAACATCACATGAGTACGCCCCATTTTTCTAACCACAGAAGATTCAGAAAAACAAAAAAGATGTAAAGATCACCTGGGTCATTAAGTGAAACTGCAAGTAGCTACAGATCAGATCACTAATCCAAAAGGGTGCCTACACTTCCACATATCATGAACTTCCTTGATGGTTTATTGCAGCACAAGATAAATCTCAAGTTTTAAAAATTATGAAGTGCTAGAGAGATCAAGCATATCACTGATGCTCTAGGAGTGTGCAAACATGGTGAAATTTATGAGTGTCCAGCTGCATTGGGGAAGCAGACACTGCTCATTGGAGAAGTGGCAGCAGTAGTGGGGACTGAAATTCTTCCTGCCTAAAGCTAGGTAGCTACTGGTGCACAGCACTTTGAAAGAGCTCTAGGTATTCTGTATTGTCAATGTACACAGGAGCTGCAGTGAATCTGGATTAAAGCTATCACTGTATACTTGACAAGAACTGGACAGTAAAACTTCAGCATTCTTTGAACAGAAAGTATTTAGATGCTTATGTGGAAATGCATCATTTTCTAGGCTCTCAGAAGTGAGATTGAAATGCTCCCATGTGGCAGTATCCTGGTGTTCCCAGTGATGACCAGCAGACACGGAATCTTTAGAATAACCATCTACCTGTGGCGTGAGCTAGTGGAGAAACTGTTACCACTACACTGCCCACTTCAGTGAGGACCACCAAGAGAGGCAAACAAGGTCCAGTAAGTCTCACAGAGAGATGCTGACAGCTCAAGAGCGGCAAGAATCAGGAATGTTAGGCTCTACTCAGGATCCTATGGTAAGCATGGTTCAGCAGCAATACAGAGCTTACTCCCACAACTTCCTGCAGTTCTTCACATATACAAAAAAAAATCTATCAGAGTTCTAAAGCCCTGCCTTATGCCTTCTTTAGTTCCTCCTTAAAACATGCTGATAGCTTGCTGCCCACCAATTAAACCTGCTTAGCACTGATTAATATAATTGCAACAACATCTGTGGAACCTGTCTTCTTATCATCCTCTCTCTTCTTTTTCCACCCCTTGGTAACAACTGTTTCTAGTTAATTTCTTCTCCCTTTTCCACTCTTTTTTCCTGAGTTACACATTGTCTTAACGTTTCCCCCACCTGTGACTTGCTCCCCAGCTCTTGTCCTCTGTCTCCTTGCTCAGCTAGTCTCCAGTTTCATTATCCAACCCCAGTTCAAGCTTTCTCCATCCTCAGATTCCTTCTCCAAATTCTTATTCTCTAGCCCATATAATAATTCCCAGGCATTTTCAGAGTCATGGTTGAGCAATGAGACCCTCCTCTTTCACAAAAGTACTATAAGCCTTTCTAAGAAATGAGAATTTTCCTTGTTTCCACTGAGGTGTCCTCCATCTCAGCAGCCTGTGACAAACACCAAAGCAAAACATCAGGATAGGTCCCGTTTGTGCAAAATGAGTATTTAGAAAAGACAAAACAGGACTTATGCAAACAGAATTATCCAACTCCAGATTTTTATTATGCAAGAAGAAATTATCATCAGTGGGCCACACCATCTTCCCACTGAAAATGCTCTGCTTCAAAGAAACAAGGTGATAAAGCTGAGCCACGGAACATCTATGAGAATATTTAACCTATAGGCAAACCATTGGTTAATACATTAAAATAAAATAAATGGAATAAGCCTCTACAAGATAACTGAACTGGTAGTGAAAATTATAACCTTACTTAATTCTACGGAAGTATATTCAGATTGATACAAGTTATTTAATACAAAAAAATAATTATTATTAGAGACAGCCTGTACCTCTCTATTGCTAAATGAAGAAAAGAAACTGCTTTTCTAAAAAAAGTGCAATACCTGGGAATAGGCCATGGAAGTAGCTAGCAAATATCTGAAGCAGCTATACACATCTTCAAAGGCAATAATGATCTAGACTTCCCAAAGTCATTAACTGCATGTCATCTATTTCTAGATTGACCGGTTTTAAAGCACTTAAAGATCATTTTTCAGAAAAGCTGCACACTGAGAACATGAATTGTACTCAAAAGTCATTGTGCTGCATAAATACACAGCTTAAGGTGTTTAATTGATTAGACTATTTTCTGAGGTTAAAAATCGAGTATTTTTGCAATACTGCCTTTATATTATCGATCCTGTAACAGTATCCTTAATGTTCAAGGCACTGAAAGGACAGAGGAGAAACAGACCCTGCTTCTACAGCTCACCACCTAAAATCACAACATAAAAATGTGAAGGAAAAGTAGTAAAATGTATATGGTTACTCTAAAAATATTTTCTCCCTCAATATACAACTGCTCCTCTACTTAGTTTTATTCTTTCAAATGTTACCGTGGTATGAAGGCTTGAGAAAGGATCTGAAAGACGATAGATTAGTGACTCTAAGGCTACCTCAAATGACATTCCCAGCTTAATGAACAGGATAGAAAAACCATAAAAATAACTACTGGAAAATTATGGAAACAGTCGAGGGAGGTTGCCACTGAGAATTTAACATAAGCACTACAAAATGAACAACGAAGACCAAAATGCAGGGAGCAGATATCCCATAGAATCAACAATGCCAGTTCAAATGTGAATTAAAAACAAATTTAAGCTGGAAATGTGGTATTGGCAACTAAATATTGCTTAAGCAATCTGAAACAAACTCCAGTTAAGGGCAGGCCAGATCACTTTCATTGGAAAACATCCAGTGACAACCATTGCTACAAATGACACTGTCCTGGTTTTAACACTCCTGGCCATGTCAAGAGTTTCAATGCACCAAAGTCTCTCAGTGTTAGAAATAACCATCTGTGTGGGAAATTTCTGTGTCACTCAGCTGGAGAGGCTCCAAATCCACAAGATCAACCTAATTCTGGAAGCTCCATGTAAGCAGCAAATGGTTGTCCAAAATCCTTGCTTTCACAAAACACAGAAGGTGCCTCATCTTCCCATGATTTTCCTCTCAAGGCTCCATTGTGTTCTTCTGTAATGTGATTTTTCCCAGCTCTTAAAAACCAGTACACATAGCCTGCATATCTTCATCACAGCAGTACTGGAATATCATAGCTGTGTTGAGAAAATATCTAACTTAATTCACATTGAAGAAAAAAGCAGATGTAGCACACCTTTTTTTTTTTCTTCCTTTTTATACATATCTTGTTTTCTCTGCTTCATTTCCTAGACACAAAAGGCCAGCTGTTCTAGGGAAGACAGTTGAACAAGTTAGGTATATGTTTATTTTTTCAGTACCAATTTCTAGATCTCTTTGGCCAAGAAAAGCATCAAGCAGCCATCTTACCCTCCTCCTATTTCCAGACAATCTGGGCATTGTAATTTTATTTTTGTGGTACTTACTGTTGTGGAGTTCACTGTTTTTTTGTTTGGTTGCTATTTTGGTTGTTTGTTTGGTTGTTTGGCTTTTTTTGTTTTGTTTTGTTTTGGTTTTTTTGCAGGTTGTCTGTTTGTTTTCTTTGATTGTTTGTCTTTTTTCCCTTAGGACAACAACAAGTAAGTTATTTTCATTACACCAGAATTTCAAACTTACCTGTAAGGGCTGAGAAGAAACATTCGAAAACTCAAACTCAAAACATCTGAGCATCACACATATTAGTGATTTATGAACAATTAAGACTACTAACAACTCTAGCTAGCACTCTTTACTTTCAACAATGGGGGAGCTTGTAAACCAGTAAATACAACTGCCATTACTCAGAAAGTTTGCTTATCAGTTTTGTAGCCTTAAGGTTCCATCACTGCTTGGAAATCTGCAGAGCCACTTTCATTGCTGATGACACACCCACATTTACAAATGGATTTTGTTCTTAAGAGCCTGAGCTTTTGCTGTACAACATGGGCAAGTGAGAGAATGTCAAAGCTGAAAAGAACGTTAATTTTTCTCTGAAGAGAAAGTAGTATGAATAGCAATCAAAAGCAGAGCCATCCTATTCAGAACATTTTTAGAAGTTTCACAAGATTTTAACTTCCATTTTCAGGCCCTAAAATGCTAATGAAATGAGAGAAATCATACAGATGGAAAGTCAGCACAGAATATAGCTTCTCACTGCTATGCTTAGTTATACCAGTTAATAAGAACAAATACTAAACGACAGTTATTTCAATTAAGGGCTGTATTTGCCCAGAATTCACCATTCACTTAGCAATTATTGCCCTTTAGCTACTTAGCACATGCAAAGTTTAAAACTACTTAAGAATCTTAATTTATATTTTGCAATTTAATTCTTCTGTAGTGAGCCCAATCAAAATAGATGATAAATAGCTGAAAGCAAATACAGTTTGCAAATTCATGTTCTTCTGCATAGCACATTACAAACAAGAAAGATATACATAAACTATAATGTGAGGCTCTGGAAAATCCGTATTTCCTCTGTATGTGTTTTTAACTTGTGTGTTTGCCAGTTTTCACAGTGCATTTAGTAAAAGCAATTATTTGGTTAGTAAATACCATTTAAATCATATTTTAGTTAGTATACCCCTTCATAAAAATCTTAACAGCACTGGTAAAATGCTTTTCATCGACTGAACTAATAAAATAGTGTAAGTCATAAACACATTAAAATGTGAAATTTCACCACTTGGTCTATCTGGTACAATTTAAAACCAGTTGTAGCAAATTCCTTTTGCCTCCAATAAAGTGAAAGAATATTTTCAAATTGATACAAGCAGATCTAAAAATTCCTTACATATGAATTATGAGGAGAGACATTTATTTACTTGATAGGAGTTCCTGTCATCTCCCAAATAATTTCAGATTCATATGGTATTTCAAGTACAATACTGAGGACGAGTAAGAAATAAGTTTTGTGCACTATGTCTAGTGAGAGTTAAAATTCAAGCTGTTCAACACTCTCTTTTACAGACTGCTTTCAGTTCCTGAATTTTATATATTTGAGTTTAAACTTTGTATGTTGCATGATTACTGGGGTAGGGCGAGTGGGGGGAGGGAAAGTGTGGTTAGAATATTTGCAGAATGAGATTTGATTTTTAAAAATCATGTTTATCCTTTAATAAAAACCCCTATGTGATTAAGTAGTTAAGATATTCAATGCTCTCTGTGTTCAAGAGGAAGGAATTAAATTTGGCAGCAGAACTGTACTTGTGTCAAAGATTTGCTTTTACAGACCATGTTTATTTACATTATGTACACCCACATTTGGCCACACTTGATGAATCTTGATTCACAGATGCTCAGAAGAGATTTGTTGGCATTTGACAGTTTTGCACTGAGTGCTCTTGCCCATGACTGTAAGAGCTGCATAAGAACACTCCTGCAGTAAGAAATTTCAGTGGCTGCCCAGCATCTCAGAAGCCCGAGCTCAAGCTGACCGCAGCAAGGGGACAGTTTTTCCCAAGTTCCCAAGGCTCTGTCTGTGAACAGCACAGCAGAGAAAGTGAAATTAGCTTAAGTGGAACAGAAGGCAGTCAGATGATACCAGAATTATGGAAACAAGGAATCTCAAGTCAGCCCCCATGGGTACAGGAATTACTATAATCTTTAATTAGGTGATCACATACGTTTCCCTAAAGAATTCTTGCCCCATCCAGTGAACATTCAGCATTTTTTCCATCTGTCTCAATGAGTGGTCCGGAATAATATCAACTTTGACATTTCCTAAATTTTGAGCATTTTATTTCCTACCTTTAAAAATACTTCAATATAATGGTTTGCATTTAAGAAATGTAATAAACTACGTGTAGAGGCCGCAGAGCATACAAAGCACTTTGTTCAGTGAATTCACTACACAATATCCACAGCCACAATAAACACTACCATAAAAAAATATAATCACTAATTGGCACCTTGCTAGTAAGCACTGGAGGAAGACCAGGAACAGAGTAGGTGATGGAGATTGAACCTTCACCCCATTCTTATGCTTCAGGAAGCATTTCTAAGGCTAGGGACAAGATTCACAAGTAAGAAAAGATTCAAGCATCTTAGAACTCTACTGAAAAATCTGTGTTCTAGGGAAAAATGGGAAACAACAGCCTAAGCTATTAAAAAAGTGTTCTTGTTTGGCTAAGCTTGTATTATGTGGTTACTACCAAATAAAAGTAAAAGCAAGTAAATATTTAAGAGATTTTTGGACGTCTGTGGCCTTTTCAGGAAAAGCAATTAGCCAGTTTAAAAGCCTCCCCTTGAATTAAAAGTTCCTCATATTTAACCAGTGTTGCTGGCATATTAAAAGAAAAAAAAAAAACCAACAAAACACAAACCCACATCAGCTAAAACAAAAAACTGCTTTTTTTTTTTTTTTTTTTTTCTTTTAAATAGGGCACAACAGGAATCCAGAAAACAAGGAAACCACGGAAGCAATTTGTCTCACTTGCAGAAGCTGTGCTAGATAAACACATGTGAGATAAATATTATTGTTTGCTAAACTACCACCCTATTTTGAAACCAAATTCTCTCTTGCAAGTCAAGATTTATGAGAATTACATTGCTTACACAGAACCTGGAAACCTAAATATGCCTTTAGATCCTCACACTCAGTAAAAGGAAAAAAAAAAATAAAAAGGGAAAAAAAGTGCCTTTTAGCTGCACACACTTGGGCAGGAAAATTACAGCCTCGCATTTTCAACGCTACAGTTAATGCTGTGTCAGCACCTCCATCAAGCCTCGTTGTTCAGCAGCTTATAAAAAGTTCACTCCGAGCCGAAACCTGGCACCCAGAGCCCAGAAAGGAAAGTGCCGAGGGAGGAGGAGCAGAGAAACCCGCTGATGGCGGGGGGCAAAGGGGCAGGGGGGCTCCGCCGCACATCGGGGCCATTCACGGCCCTCCCGGGACCCCAGCAGCCCCCGGCAGCCGCGACCCCCGGCCCGGGGGAGCACCGAGCCGCCTCCAGCCCGCTCCCGCGGCCCCTCGGCTGCCTTCACCTCCTCGAGGCGGGCGGACACCAGCGCGGCCTCCCAGCTCGGCAGCCCGGGCACTGGCGTCTCCAGGCCGGTCTTTGCCCGTTTGGAGCCCATGGCGGTGCGGCGGCGGCCCCAGCTCCGCCGGCCCCACGCGTCGCCCCGGAGACGGCGGCGCGGGCGGGGCCTGCCCGCCGCGGGAGCGCTGGGCCCGGCCGGGGCGGCCGCTGCCGCCTCGCCCCGACGGGAACGGCTGGCGGAGCCGGCGCTGCTCGGCCTCGGGAAGGGATGTCACCGGTGTCTGTAAATACCTAAAGGGGGTGTCAGAGGGTGGAGCCGGGCTCTGATCGGGGATGCCAAGCCACAGGACAAGAGGCAGCGGGCAGAAACTGATGCCCAGGAAGTTGCACCTGAATATGGGTGAGAGCTTTGCTATGCGGGTGGCCGCGCACTGAAACAGGTTGCCCCGGGATGTTGTGGAGTCTCACTCGCTGGCGATTGGCAAGAACCATCTGGATGTAACTCTGTGCCATGTGGTTCTAGGAACTCTGCTTGAGTAGGGAGTTGGACCAGATGATCCACTGTGGTTCTTTCCGACCTGATGGATTCTGTGCATTCTCTTGGGGCTTTTGGGTACTTTCATTGTCATTTTTGAGACAATGAGCGGCCCCCATCACGGCCACCCAAAGGAGAAGCCTCACTGAGGCTGCGTGTGACTCAGCCTCACTGAGTGTTGGTGTGACACGCTTACACAGACACCACAAGTGACACATCTCATGCCCAGGGCTGCATAGCAGCGCCCGTGGCAGCTCTTGGGGTGCCCCTGAGGAGGGTGAAGGAGCCAGCTCGGGTGCGGTGCCGGAGTGTGGCACGAGCAGCGAGGCTGGGGGACGCAGATGTGGGCAGCCAGGCCTGCTCCTAGGCCCAAGCGGCTCTCCAAATACTACCATATGTTACGGCACTGGGACCAGAAGGGGAGAGGGAGGCACTGTTGGGAGAAAACAGGAGAGCTGCCAAGATAAAGAATTCATTACAGAGGAGTCATGTTGTGATCTCACACTGGAGACGAGTGAAATATTCTGTGTGATTTAACATTTGGTGAAAATTCCCCAAACCACATGCTGCCCTTCCCCCACCCCCTTATACCGACCGGTGTTGCTCAGAGCCTCCAAATCTTTATTTTATTTTCGTCAGAGCTTAAAACCCTGCTGTGTAGTGTGTTACTGCCTTAGTCAAGATTTCATTCTGGGATGATACTGACCTGCTGTGTGTGCTGTATAAAACACCTTTCATTACACAGCGTTAGTGAAGGAGTAGGAATTTAGCTTCATAGGGGACATAACCGGCAAGTCTCTCATCTTTTTAGTTTGCAGAAAGGTATCTTCCCAATGTTTCTAAATAGTGATACAGTTGGTAATGTGGGAAAACTGCACAGTAGATTTGCCAACATCCATTAACATTTCCCCCCAACCCATCTCTTGGTTGGTGTCCACTTTTCTACTTTTGAGTTTTTCCTTTATTGTTCACAAAAAACAAAAATCATGCTTTGCTTGTTCAAAGAAACAGGCTGCATGACATTCCCACAATATCCTTTTTCTTCACTAAAGTCTTGGATACACAGCCTGTGCCTGCTAAGGTGCACTGACAAGAGTATGGAAAAGAGAAATGGGGAAGGATCACCAGCTGATGTAGCAGAACAATAGAGAGGTTTGGGGTTGAATGCACAGATAACGTTGCTAAATACCATAACTGTGCACCACCCCTCAGATTTTTCATGGTTCGGTTTTCAGGAATAAATATAAATTTCAAGAAGAGTGACACGAGAGGGTTGTGCACCTAGATCTTGATGGTGTGGCTGGAATGTGCATTACCATGAATTTGGTGGGAAATGAAAACTGTTTAATTATGCCCATACCTGGATCTGTTTGTTCAGATCATTGGAAGGTTAAAAACCAGAGAGACTGATGTTAGCTAAACGACAGCTCTGAGAACACACACAGTAGGTGGGAGAACCATGAGCTGGCCTGTTTATATCTACTGTGGGTTTGCTTGATGCATGAGGACTTTTTGAAGAAAATGGTTTTGTTCTGCTGCTTTACCACCTCAGTAAATACATCTTGATAACTTATTTATTGTTGACTGCCGTGGCAGACAGCAAATCCAACTGAAGTAGGACTGCTGATCACTAGGAGTTGATACCAGTTCCTTTAAAATTACCTCCACCCCTCTCACAAACAAAGGAGAGGAAGAAATTGTATTTATGCTCTATTACAAAGGGTTGTAGTGTATAAAATGGGTTATCCATCAGCAAAGTCAGCTGAAGACATGTCCTGTTTGGCTGCTTGTCCCTGTCCATTCTGTTGTGCTGCCAAAGATGCTTGTAGTCCAAGTTGTGAACCAGATCACTGAAATCCCCTTGGTTAAATCGTGAAACAGACAGACAAATCAGAAATCCTGGGGAAACTGCAGCCTTTGTTTCCTCCCAGTGGTCTGGACTGCACAACATCCAGCTGCACATTTTGCAGCTGAGCCATCTGAAAAACTTCAGCTTCCTTCTGATAACTAAAATATGAAGCTGCTGCAATCTCAAAACTTATATTAGCAAACCTGAATGTAATTCAGCTGTACTGATAAGCCTCTGGTTAGATTCTGAGAGACAGTATGCATTTTGATGTAGCTTCACAGAAAACAGGAATGTGTAGATGTAAGCTGGACATTTCCAAGAAGTGAAATTTGGTTGAGGGCAAGAGTTGATGGGACTATCTGTAATGACTTTGTGTGTGACAGGAATATTTATGGTGAGATTTTCAGGGAGAGTGGCAACCTGAAAATGCCAAGATCAGCCTTTAATTTTTTTGCTTATTAAAAAACAGCACTTGTGAATACATGTGTGGAGTAACTTAAGGCATGAATTTACAGTACACTTGCAATTCTGAATAATACTCTGTCTAAATAAACTGTAGCTGACTTTTCCCTGGGAGACAGATTAGCAAGCCTGTGTGTTGTGAGTTTATACAGCAGGGTAAGAAAGTATGCATAATTAATACTGGAGTACCAGTACTGTAGTGTAGTGTGGAGTTGCTAGACACAGTAACATGTCTGCATGCCGACACTTTTCATAGAAGTATAGAAGGAGTGTTTAAAAATGAGATATACTCTTTACCTCCTTCAGAAAGAGAAGGAACATTGATTGCCTTTTCTTTTAGAGCAACATAAAGAACATTTGCGCTTCCTTGTTCTTCAGTAAAGTGTGGGGAGTGGAAAGGCATTACTAGTTGTACATGTAATTTTTTTCTCTACTTGATATTTTTTGAAAGACTATGGCTGACTAAAGAACCAGTAAAGATTTTGACTCTTATTAATTAAATCCTAGTTAATGAGAGGGGAATTAATTTTAATCCTGCTTGCTTTGTTTTAAAAATGTGCTTATTTTAAATTCTTGAATTTTTTTTGAAAAATTATCTTTTCAGTAAGAACCATCACCTTCTCAGCTTTAGTTGGGAAGTAAGCAGACTCTCATTGCTTGAGTCCTTAAAACACTTAACTGCTTTATTCTGCATTCATGAGATTTAAATGTTGCTGAAACAGGGAGGCTTCCTGAATTATGGCTTCAGAAAGTTGTTTCTGTTTTAGAAACAGGGCCAGAAAAGTTGTCTAGAACAGCTAACATGGCCCTCAGCGCTGCTAAGGAAACAACCTTTCATCCTCCTTATATTTCTAAAAGAAGAAGAAAGGTATTAAGAAAAAAGAAAAAAAGCACACTTCCTCCCCCTTAACCCCCCCACCCCCCCAAGAGAACACTGTTCGGTCCTTTTTCCCTTCAGAAGGGAAGAAGGGGAGGAACAAAAAACTCATTTTGCTTTCCTTTCCAGTTTCATAGCGCTGCAGCATCTGGGCTGGGAACAGCTTTTTCTTGAAGTGTGCAACCCCCAGGACACAAGTGTCTCACAAGTTACACAGATTTGACAGCTATAGCATGTGTTACCAAAGCCTTCCTGAACTCTCACATACCAAGCTGGATGCAGGAGGTCTTTGCCTACAGTTGCTGCTCTGGCCACCAAGTGATTCTTTATAATTTATTTCTTAGTCTCCAAAATTTGTTTATGTAATTTGCATAAAGCTTCTCACATGGGATGAATTGGCCTTGTGGATGTGGACCAAGTATCTGTTTTGGCTTTAGGATCTAGAAAGGTTATTTCTACATCAGTAAATTGTAAGTGAATGTGCCCTGAAAGGGGAAAGGTTAAGCCAAGTGTAAATATATTAACACATTCCCCTTCTGAATATGACATGGTGCTCTTATTTTTCTAGTGCCAAAGGTCAGTAACTTCTTCATTAGACTGAGTTCTAATCATGAGACAATAAAACAACCTCTCCTTCTCAGACTGTAATGGGCCTTCCTGATAAAATAAGGGTTGCTAGATGTTTGCTGAGCTGTGAGAACTGGCAGGGATGGTTAGAGGGAAAGGGAACAGCTGGATTGTAAAGGCAATGCAATTCAGACAAGTCCATCCACCAGCTGGCAAGGCCTGCCCTCCAGTGCTTGGCCATTCTGTGCACGCTCTGGGCCTTACCTACTTAATCTGGTCCATCACAGCCAACAGCAAAGCAAGTTGTAGATATTCCCTTCTCCCTCCAGCCCTTGTATTTAGTGGGTGCCTGGCCAGTCAGTTTTTTTTTTTATTATTCACTCAAATGTTTCCAGCCAAGCTGAGTTATAACTCTTTCAAGCCTCTGTTGTTTATTGCAAGTGTAACATACAGAACAGATCAAACTTTCTATATACAAATATGTTTACATTTAAGTGTCTTCACCAACTTTGTTTTACTAGGAAAAAATCTCAAAACTTGCAAGGCCCTGTATTTAATTTTGGAAAAGATGCTTTCTTAGTCTGCTCTCCCACGTGCATGGATATGCAAGGAGAATGTTTTTTTCCTCTCTGTAGCAAATGGCATAAGGATTCCTGGCAAAGCTCAAAATTAAATCCATTATCATCTGTCAGTAAAATGGCTTCCAAA